CCCCAAAACCCCAAAACCCCAAAACCCCAAAACCCCAAAACCCCGAGCAAACCTGGAGAAATTGAAAATATATAAAGAGAGATATTATACCTAAACTTTATTAAGCTTGCACTATCTCCATGACTTCATCATCAGGCTTTGTCTTGTATTCCTCCTCAAGATCAATTATTTGTTGCCGGGTAATCTTTATCTTTACTGATCCATCCATTAGCTTGTCTGGGTCCAATCCTTTCGGAGTTGCAAATAAGACTTGGAGAAAGTCGTCTAAATCTTTTCCGAGGTATTTTGATTCGTTGTCCTTCATAATCCATAGAGCAACTCTGTAAAGTATCTTTGGACCCTCTGTGAAGAAGGAATCATAGATTCTCACAGTGACTTCAGGATCAAAGCCAGAAGTGAAGAGAGTGACAAACCACTGTGTTGCAAACATTGATGGCTTAATTCCCTTATCTTTCATGTGTTTATATGATTTAGGTAGAACTTTCTTCATCAGTTTCATAAAAATATAGAAGCTTTCAAAAAGTCCGGGTAGTCCAGGCAAAAAGTACTTTTTATGATTATACTTGATTAATAAGGAGAGCATGGTCCAAAAGGAATTTTCTTCGTTCATATACATTAGAAGTATACCAACAATGCTATTCATGCCCTGGATGTACCCTGTATCTTTATGCACAAGGGAAATAGCCTTTAGAACATTGAAAAGTGTTTTTTGACCGAAACCGTATTTTTCTTCAAAGAATGAATGTTTGCTAAAAGTTCTGGTGACATCTTTAAAAATGGTATCAATTTCCTTTTTCTCCCCTTTAACCTTAATAATTCTAAAATAATCTAGGGATTCATTTTCTTCTTGAAGACGCTTGACACAAGTGAGGACTCTCCAAGCAGTAGCTCTGTAATAATCAGGGATACCTTTCCTAGCTCTAGACTTAAGCTTGGGATGCACTTCATCTGGATATACTTCAAGCATCTTCATCCATTTGGAGAGTCTAATATTTTGAAGGTTAGTTTCTTTTTCTGAAAGCTTTTTATTTTGAAGCGCGCTCCTAGGTTTTCCTTCCTTTTCATCTTCTTCTGCTTCAGTGAGCCTACTAACTTGCTCTTCAAATGTAATATCTTTCACAAATCCATATTTATTCCTAAAGAAGGTTTGTAAAGAGCAAGTCTTACTTTGCCTTTGCAGTCACATAAGTCTTTCTGTAAACATTAGTGCAGTTATTAAAATGGTCCTTAAAGTCGACATCCTTAAGGTGAGAGTAGCTCTCCCTTCTACTCTCTAAATCTTCATAGGTGGTTTGGATAGTTTTTGACATAATAGCTATACAGAATTAGTCTAATTATTCATTTTTTATAACTCCAAATAAAATGTATGCTTACATTCGTGTCTTGGCTTAGTTACTGTATCTGATCTGGTTCGTGTCATATCATCAATATTATCCACTTCCAGTTTCTCTTCTCCTGGTAATTCGCTGCTTTTACGCTCAAAGGTTGGTTTTTCTTCTATAAGCAGGATATAGCAAGCTCGTTTGAATGTTTAAGGGACTCAAGAAATTGATTGGGTGCATTAAAAATGGTGTTTACTTTTCACAGGACTATTTTCAAAATTTTGTAACTTCTTTTCTTCCTCCATTAGTATTATTAATTTTATTCAATTTTTATCCTGAGTTGGGGTTTTGGGGTTTTGGGGTTTTGGGGTTTTGGGG